CTGTCCGCCAATGTCCATCCTATTGCCCTTTTTCGCTTTTGGAGCACCTCCACAGTGGCCTCAACCTGCAAGTTAGTAAGGCAAGAAGAAAGAATAACTGGAAGAGTAGAATTAGAGCCCAAGAATTCATACCTGAGGTGAGGAGGAAGTGGTTTCAACTCCAACACCGGTGGCTCCTCAATTGATGGCTTGGTTGGCGGAGTTTTGCGATTTTCAAGATTCAAAGATAGTTTCCTAGGCTCATATGAATATGAACCCATTCCATGCAATGCATTCACGCACTCCACTCTACCGGCATCATCATTGGCATCCATGTTAAGAAGCACGGCTTCAAGAGGGTCTTCAACATTGATCAAGGCACTTGTGTCATCCACTATCACTGCCGTGACAATGTCCACAAATGAACACACCTTCGTACTATTGGGTTGCCTCATTGATTTGCACACATGAAATACCACCTTCTCATCTCCCACGCGGAATGTTAACTGCCCTGCTTCCACATCAACCAATGCCTTCCCCGTAGCTAGGAAAGGTCTTCCAAGAATGATAGGCACCTCGAAATCCACTTCGTAATCCAATATGACAAAGTCGGCCGGCAATATGAATTTCTCCACCCGGACGAGCACATCATCGATTTTACCTAGAGGCCTCTTCATCGACTGGTCCGCCATTTGAAGTCTCATGGAGGTTGGCCTAGGTTGCCCAATTCCCAAAGTCTTGAAGACGGAGTACGACATCAGATTAATGCTAGCCCCCAAGTCACATAGGGCCTTAGCAAAGTCTGCACTTCCGATAGTGCAAGGAATAGTGAAAGCTCCAGGGTCCTCAAGTTTCGGGGCCGTAGAATGCACAATCGCACTAACTTGGTGCATCATCTTTATTGTTTCACACTCTATAGAACGCTTCTTGGTGACTAAATCCTTCATAAATTTTGCATACCCAGGCATTTGTTCAAGTGCCTCCACTAAAGGGACATTGATTGTGAGGGTCTTCATTATGTCTATGAATTTCTTGAACTGATTGTCGCTCTTTTGCTTTGCTAACCGCTGAGGATATGGTGGAGGTGGTCTAGGCAAGGGTGCCTTTACCTTGGGCACCGCCGGCTCAGGTATATCAATGATGTGTTCCCTAGACAGGTTCACGGTCTCTTGAGTCTCTACCCCGGCCTCATATCAATATCAACCCGCACATCATTTGTCACTGTTGGTTCAACCACATTGTCTAAATTCAAAGGTGCTTTATCATCATGTAACTCAACTTCATCATTCAAAACTTGATTCTCAACCGAGGCATGCACATCACCGCCTCTTCCACTCCTAGTTGTAACCGCCATCACATGATTGTTACCCCCTTCGGGTTTACTACCGTATCACTTGGTAGCGCACCTTTTGGGCGGGTATTTAGAGCTTGAGAGATTTGTCCTATTTGCACCTCTAGGTTCCGGATAGATGTGTTATGCGAAGCCAATTGTGCATCTGAATCTTGGTTCTTTTTCATCATCTGCTCGAACATCATTTCTATCCGTCCCATATCACTTCCAGAAGAACTAGGCCCTTGTGACTGAAAGGGGGGTGGATTGTTTGGTTGTTGGAACATGGGGGGCCTTTGAAAGCCTTGCCCCCTACCACCATTATTCCACCCTCCTTGATTGCCATTGTTGTTGTTCCAATTGCTGTTGTTCCCAGTCCAATTGCCTTGGTTATTGCTTTGATTACCCCAATTGTTGTTTTGATTGCCATTGTTCCAATTGTTGCCACCCTGTTGTTGATTGTTGTTGTTCCAATTGCCGCCTCCTTGTTGATTGCCCAATTGCCTTGGGGGCGCCATTGTTGATTTCCTTGACTTCCTCTATTTCCTTGGTAGTTATTGACATATTGGCACTCCTCACTTTGATCATCAAAACACTCATTCGAATATCCACCACCATCGTTGTTGTTGTCAAATTGGTCACCGCTGCCTTGAGGTTGTTGTTGGCCTCTTTGCCTCCTTTTTAGCATAGAAAAATTCTCCATTGCATTGACTTGGCGCGGGTTTTGTACTTGTTGCAATTGCGCCTTCGCCAACTGATTCATTGTTGTTGTAAGTTCGGCAATAGCTTGGCCGTGATCACTCAACTCCTTATGCAAATGGATGACCGTGAGGTCACCTTGGGGTACATTCGCTCGGCTTTGCCAAGCTGAAGAGGTGTCCGCCATTTCATCAAGTACATCACATGCCTCTTGGTAAGAAAGTTTCATAAAGTTCCCACCAGCCAATTGGTTTACAATGCATTGATTTATGGTG